CCGAAGTCGTATATACTGACACGTATTTTAGGCGAAATTTTATTTTAGAAATTTGACAAACTTCTCGGTTCTGAAGTTCAATGCAAGATTTGTGCAAGGATGGTGCTGTGTTTGTGCATCAATTGAAGATTCCCTAAAAGAATTTGAAGACATTTTTTGTGTTTTTTTGAGAGAAAATTTTGAAATATTAGTAGCAAGAATTTTATAGAAAAGGGAGTGTTTGAAAAAATGACTGATCAGCTATTTTCCAGCTAGTTTGGCTAATTTTGGCTGACGTTTGTGTTTAGTGGAAGAACGTTTTTTTTTATTTTTTATTTTTTGTTTTTTTTTTTTTTACAGAAAACCAAATCATGATACTAAGGATGCCAAATGTAAGATCAATCTCAGGGTAAACATAATCAAGATACCCCAAGTGATAAGTAGTACATAAACGGACAGATATTAGAGGTTTCAAGACTCTGGTCTATACATTTGTTGCATGAAATTTATATGGTAAAACCAAACCCTCAAAAGTAAGGACTATAACGCATTGGTGCCCTCAACCTAGGAACCTTCCCATATCCATAAGAATTATAGAAGAAAGGATTAGGACATCGTGGACGGAAATGCTTCATGCCAGGAATATTAGTTCATTTTGCCGATACCTTTAATTAGCGGCCATGACGCTCAGACTCATTTAGAAGAAGGGTCTGTTGAACAGCTTCAACGTAGGCATTTCCCTTTGGTTGCCCAAACTTATCAATACGGATAATAACTCTATTTACCGTACCACATTCTTGGAAATGCTACGGCACTTCCTCAGGGGGGCATGAATATTCTGTTAAGCCAATATGTGGCTAGAATGCTTTTAGTTGTTACTTGTTCTATTTATGCTCCTATAGACTAGTTATATTTGGTTGCAACTTCCTACTATTTACACTCCTCCATGTACTATATATATGTTGTAATTTACATCAACAAACTTACAGTTAATTCCTTCACATGGTATCAAGAGCCATATTCCCCTAAGGAGTTCTTTTTTTTTCTCTCTTCTCTTTCGTGATTCTTATATCCATGGCTACAACCACCACTGACATTGTCCACCTCAATGCTCCGTCTAATTTTCCTATCAAACTCACCCCCCTCAACTTTCCTGTCTGGAGACGCCAAGTTCAGTCCACCCTGATTGGCTTTAATCTCCTCGGATACATCGACGGTTCTGTCAAAGAGCAAGCAAAATTCAATGATGTTGCACAAACAACTCCGAATCCAGCACATTTGACTTGGTATTGCCAAGATCAGATAATTACCAGTGCTTTACTTGGGAGCTGTTCAGACACCATACAACTTCTTATAGGTTCCACATCCACTGCTTGTGATGCCAGGCAACGGCTTGTTGCTAGCAATGCTAGTGCCTCCCGAGGACGGATCCTTTCCCTCAAGGCCAAGCTTACCAGAAATTCGAAGGGTAATCGGTCAGTCACCGCATTTTTGAATGACATGCGATCCATAGCTGTCGATCTCGCCCTGGCTCAATGCCCTATTTCTGATGAAGACATGGTTGTGTACATTTTAACACAACTAGGGGACGAGTATAGCTCCATCGTATCTGTCGTTCGTATCCGTGACAAACACATTAATTTGGGAGAGTTAGCCGATGCGCTCACAGATCATAAACGTCAGTTGGCTGAAGTCGATGATGCTCGCAAATCTATTTTGGCTACTGCTAATGCCTCCCAGCGTGGTCCTTCGGCTTCTCGAAATATTCAGCACTCCACTGCGATCGAAGGTCCCGCAACAACACCAACAACACGTATGGAAATAATAGACCGAATTGGTCGCATAACAGCAACACTCGACCTAGTGTTGTGTGTCAATTCTGTCACCTTGCTGGCCATGAAACACGTGTTTGCCGTAAGTTAGACCGGTTTTTAAAGGCCCATAACGTATTTCCCGTGCAGGCTCCTACATTTCCTCAGCCTCAGTCACCCGCAGCTAATTCTACCGTGGGATCGACTACACGGTGGATGTTTGACAGCGCGGCATCTCACCATGCCACACCGGATATGACTCCTCTGCACACTTTCACTTAGTATAATAGTCCGGATGGGATACGACTGGACGACGGTAATTCTTTGAACATCTCTTACATTGGTCAGTCATCTATTCTCACTCCCTCTTCCGTGCCCACTCTCCGAAATGTCTTACATGTTCCACAGTTGCATAATAATTAAATATCCATATCGCAATTGTGAAAAACTAATCAAGTGTCAGTTGAATTTTTTGATTCCCACTTTCTTGTGAAGGATCTTCGAACGGGGATGTCATTACTACGGGGGGCGAACATTGATGGTGTCTATTATGCACCTCTCCTGCATCAACCCACATCTAATTCCATGCAGTTGTCTCGCGTTTCCCAGTGGCACCATTGTCTAGGCCATCCGTCTAATAAGGTGTTGCATCGTGTGTTGCAACACTGCAACGTTCCCATATCTTTGTCAGCGTTAAATAAGTTTTTCTGTTAGTCATGCAATGTATACAAAAGTCATAAATTACCTTTTTTCCAAAGCACACTTTTTAGCACTAGGCCTCTACAACTACTCTATACTGATGTATGGGGCCCGACGGAAAAATCAATTGATGACTTCGCTTATTATGTTATATTTGTAGATTACTTCTCTAGGTATGTCTAGTTATATCCTTTAAAACAAAAGTCTGATGTTTCTTTGATTTTTCCTCAGTTTAAAAGGTTACTGGAGAAATTTTTTGGTTTGTCAATTGTGTCAGTTTATTCTGACAATAGGGGGGGAGTTTGTTAAATTAATTTCGATGCTCAATGCTCATGGCATTTCGCATTTTTGGACTCCTCAACATACACCTGAGCACAATGGCATGGCTGAACGGCGACACAGACATGTCGTCGAAAATGGAATGTCACTTCTCCACGCTGCTTCTTTGCCTTCTTCGTACTGGTTTCACGCGTTTCAGGCTATCGTCTATCTCATCAATCGACTTCTTACTCCGGTATTAGGTAATCAATCTCCTTATCAAGTTTTATTCAAACAAAAAACTTGATGGCATCAATCGTTTCTGGGTGCCATCTTTCCACCAATGCTGACAATCCAAATGTATTCTTTCCAATCTTGACAACCCATCAAAGTCTGCCAGTCGAATGTAAGCCTTAACCCTATCATGCATCAAATTCTATTTTTTTGCTTTCCAAAATGAACTATCATATCTAAAACACTTCAAGGATTTATTTATTCGATGAGATCCTTTCCAACATTTTTTTGGAGTTGAGTTTGACTTTGTTCGAACATTTGTGCGATCTTTTCATATGTTCTGTGACTTTGGCAAAATAATCATGATATTCTGCAAATGCTTGCTTCTTCTTTTTTTTCCTTGTTACGCCCAGTAGGACGTTCATTGTTCAAGCCCTGACTTTCGAAATCATCGTCTAAGTTAAGGCAAAATGATGATGAACCTATTGACTTATCGCCTTGTGACTCTGCACCTTCAATGTCAGAACTTCGCTTTCGACTTGCAACACTTGGTTCTCTACCCGAAGGACTTTGAAATTTCTCCAAGTCTTTAACAATAGGCCATACATGATCAAATTTAAAACCATTTTTAAATTTGGCATCTTGTTCCATTAGTTCTTTTGACCTATTAATCTGTTATAAACCACAATTAAAGTAAGTAAATAACACAAACGTTCAAAGTATTCACAATTTATATATAAACACAAAATACTCACAATGTCTTTTTCTGAAGCTCCACTCGGATTCAAGTTCTCAACATGTACAATACATCCTCTGTCATTATAGTTTGCATCTTGGACGTAATTGACCTCAATGATCGAGTGCTTCCAACATTTGCTGGTAGCGCTTCATGATAAGCATTCATAATACGAGTCCAAAATACGTCCCCAACTTGATGATGACCCGTAGCTTTATCTTGGCATATTAACATACACATGACAAAGGAGTTTATCTTCTTCAATAGAGTATGAACTAGTTCGAACTGTGCGTGCCTTGGACATTTTTTTAAAAGAGGATGGAGAGGAATATAGAATAGAGAATTCAAAGAGCCAAGAGTTATATGAATAGAGAAAACAAAGAGTTGTGGTTTCTGATTTGGTGGTGTACTATTATGTACAGTGAAAGAAAAAATCAATTAATGGCTAAGATGGTTGTGATATAATCCTACGGTTGAAAGCAATTGCTTTTGGGATTTGGGAAAGATAACATGTCAGATCATGGATTGTGTGTTGGAAGTATATGAATACCAATTAAGGGCTAAGATGGTTGTGATATAATCCTACGGTTGAAAGCAATTGCTTTTGGGATTTGGGAAAGATATCATGTCAGATCTTGGATTGTGTGTTGGAAGTATATGAATACCAATTAAGGGCTAAGATGGTTGTGATATAATCCTACGGTTGAAAGCAATTGCTTTTGGGATTTGGGAAAGATATCATGTCAGATCTTGGATTCTATGTTGGAAGTATATGAATACCAATTAATGGCTAAGATGGTTGTGATATAATCCTACGGCTGAAAGCAAATGCTTTTGGGATTTGGGGAAGATATCATGTCAGATCTTGGATTGTGTGTTGGAAGTATATAAATACCAATTAATGGCTAAGATCGTTGTGATATAATCCTACTGTTGAAAGCAATTGCTTTTGGGATTTGGGAAAGATATCATGTCAGATCTTGGATTGTGTGTTGGAAGTATATGAATACCAATTAATGGCTAAGATGGTTGTGATATAATCCTACGGTTGAAAGGAATTGCTTTTGGGATTTGGGAAAGATATCATAACAGATATTTAAATACATGGCATACACACTTATCTTTCACCATAGCAATCCTGAGATATGAATCCCTCACACCCCTTTTCATCCTCACCCCAACACCCATCTTCATCCTCGCAAGAGGATGACGATGATCTCATTGCTACAATACAATCACAACAACAAGCACTACTAAGTACGTATGATAACAACAATGCTGACATGGCTTACTGTTTGGAGATTATGTCTATTCAAGCCATCAACCCAATTCATGGCGGTCCAATTTCCGGGCATAGAGTGATTCACCGTGACCGTGAAGATGGTGATCGAAGATTATATGCTGATTATTTTTTAGAAAATCCAAAGTATAATGAGGCAATAGTTCGTAGACGATTTCGAATGAGTCGAAATTTGTTCTTACGAATTGCCAATGCATCGCACGACAATTACTTTGTGCAACGGAGAGATAAAATCGGTAGACTAGGCTTGTCTACTTTACAAAAAGTAACAGCAGCATTTCGAATTTTGGCTTATGGAGTAGCAGAAGATGCAACAGATGAATACATCCAAATTAGGGAATCAATAGCAATTGAAAGTTTGAAGAGATTTTGCAGAGCGGTCGTAGAGGTCTTTGGACAACGCTATCTAAGAGCGCCTGATGCTAATGATGTTGCAAGGTTGCTTGAAATTGGTGAGAGGCATGGCTTTTCAAGGATGCTTGGGAGTTTAGACTGCATGCACTGGACTTGGAAAAACTGTCCAACAGCTTGGGCCGGACAATATGCTGGGCGTAGTCGAGAACCAACTATTGTTCTCAAGGCCGTAACTGATTATGATTTGTGGATTTGGCATGCACATTTTGGTTTGCCGGGGTCGAATAATGATATTAATGTGTTGTAGGCATCACATTTTTTTGCAAACATTGCAAATGGTACGGCACCTCCTGCTCATTATGTTATTCAAGGTAAAGTGTACGATACAGGAAATTATTTAGCTGATGGGATATATCCGAAATGGTCAACCCTGGTACAAACTATTCATCAACCCCTAGGACCAAAGAAAAAGTTATTTGCAATGATGCAAGAAGCATGTAGAAAGGATGTAGAACATGCATTTGGGGTCCTTCAATCAAGATTTGCAATAGTCAAGGGACCAGTACATTTTTGGGATAAACATGTATTGCATGATATAATGACATCATGCATCATAATGCATAATATGATAATTGAAGATGAACGTGATGAGCAACTCGATATACAAAGTTGGAGAGAAGGACCGGCTCCTGAGGTTGATATATGTAGAGATGAAAGAATTGTCTTTGAAGAGTTTCTTGCTCGACATAGGCAAATCAAAAATAAAGAAGCGCATTATGCGCTTCGTGATGCATTGATCGAGCATATGTGGGAACATTATGGTAATTCTGAAAATTAAATGTAGCGGATGTTCTATGATTTTTTATTGTGGAATAAAATGATATTTGCATTATAATTATATTGTATCCATTTTTACTTTTATATATTTATATATTTCGTTAAGTATTAAACATAAATTGTATATTATTAAAATAAAATTATATCATTTGAAAGATCTTATCAAGACGATTAAAACAAAACTAATATTAAATATAATTTAATTAAAAATAAAATTACATAAAATATAATTAAAGTCTAATTTATTAAATTACAACTATTAGTTTTGTTAAAAGAATAAAAGTATAAATATAAACTTTATGAGGGGTGTAGGAATAAAATTTGGTGCAGAATTTGGTGTAATGGGTTGGAGATGGAAAAAATTTGGTGTAAGAATACGCTGGGAATATTCCTTTTTGGTGTAAAATTTGGTGCAGAATTTGGTGCATGGTTGGAGATGGTCTTAGAAACCAATAATGGCACCAAGTTGCTTCTAAAAAATATAAAGCATGTTCCAGATATCAGGTATAATTTAATTTCTGCTAGAAATTTAGATGATGAAGGGTATTGTAATACTTTTCCAAATGGCCAATGGAAACTCACAAGATGTTCTCTAGTTGTGGCCCGATGCACAAAGTGTTCTACAATTTAGGTTTTACAGGCCAAGATCTTAGGAAATATTGTTAATACGGTTGAGAACGATGATACGAATGATATATGGCATAAGAGGCTTGCGCATATATCTGAGGAGAGGATGTCCATGCTGGTCTGGAAAAGAGCTTAGTTGGGTTAAACAATGTTCATTTAAAGAGGTATTGGAACTGATACACTCTAATGTGTGTTGACCTTTGAAAACTAGGTCACTTGGTGGTGCTCGCTATTTTGTTACCTTCATTGATGACTACTCAAGGAAATTATGGGTTTATCCTTATCTACGTGTGTTGAGTTTGTCTCATATATGGATTAGGAATATGAGTTTGTCTCATACTAGGAGTAGGAGTGAAATGGGTAGACCCTTTGTACAGGGATTAGATGCCTATAAATATATTGGTTGTATCCCTAAGGGGTTGTGTCACCACTATCACTATCACTATGAATATAAGAATACTTTCACTCCGGTGGATGTAGGCACATTGCCGAACCACGTAAATCTTATCTTCTTTACCCTTTTTGCCATTATTATTGTTTCTTGTTCTTATTAATCTCAACATATTGGTATCAGAGCACTATTGAGATGGTCCGTTCAAGTATAAAATTTGATGTATCAAAGTTTGATGGTATAGAGAATTTTGGGTTATGGCAGTCTAGGGTAAAAGATTTGTTGGCACAACAGGGTCTTCTAAAAACCTTGAAGGCAGAAAAGCCAGCTAATCTGAAAGAGGCTGATTGGAAGGAGTTGAAGAAGCAGGAAGCTACGAACGTGGTACATGCTGATTACTCTTATTATAGTGAAGGTGGTGTTCTAGCAGCTACTAGTAACAAGTTCGAACATTGTTTGGACTTGTTGGGTGTTTCTAGATGCTAGATGAGAAGGTGGTGAGGGGCACTGTGGTGTTGGGCAGCGCGGATACCAGGAGTGGTCGCGAACCTAGTATGGGTCGGGCATGGCGTGAGTCTCGGCTGGTATGGGCTTGTCATGAGTCACGGCTGGTATGGGTCGGCTTGGCGTGAGTCACGGCTGGTATCGGTCCGGCTTGTCATGAATCACGGCTGGTATGGGTCGGGCTTGGCATGAGTCACGGCTGGTGCGGTGGATTGTTTGTGATGAAGCAGTTTGTGAACATGCACGGGGAAACGTTTGATGCTGCGTAGTGCGTGTTGCTTACCAGTGGCAATTGCTAGTTAGTGGAGCATTGGGCAAGGCATACTAGTTTAGTGTGACTTTGCAGGGACGCTGTTGTGTTAGGGGCAGCGTCGATACTAGGAGGGGACATGGACCAGGTATGGGCCAGATGCAGGAGGTCAGCTGAACGGGCAGTTAGCATGAGTCACGGCTGGTATAACAAGTCGACGGCAGAGGGCGAATGGCTTGGGACGAAGCGGTTCGTGTACATGCACTGGGTAACGTTTGATGCCGCATATGCATGTGGCTGGCTAGTTGGGATGAGCATGATTGTTGCTACCCATGTGTATATGTGTGATAAGTCTTTTTCTCCTAAGGGGCATAATTGTGAAGGTGGAGATGGTAAGATAAGTATTTTCTCCTAAAGGACATATTTGCCAAGGTGGAGATTTGTGGAGTTATCTTTTCTCCTAAAGAGTGTTGGTCCCGATAGAATGAGATGAGAGTCTAGAGGGGGGGGGGGGTGAATAGACTCTTTTCGTTAGAAGCCCTAAACGTCACCTTTCGGTGTCTTGGCGCAGCGGATAAGATAGATTCGTTTTAAAATACTTTGCACGAGTTTGCTTAATTAGACAAACTTTCGGTAATGATAATGAAGAAAAGATATGAGAGCAAAATAAAAAGCGTAAGTAAGGAGATAAGGAGGACACGAGATTTTATAGTGGTTCGGCCAATGTTGCCTACTCCACTCTTCTTCCACAACTGTTGGAAGGATTGCACTATCACTCTTAGTACAATTACACAAAGACTTCCTTGATCACTAAGCCGGACAGCCTTCGTAGGTTTTTCAACTCCTCGAGTTTACTCCGCCTCTATCAACTTCTTCTCCTGAGTTGAGGTTGGTAGAAAATGATTTCTTGAATTCTCCAACGAAGAGATCTTGACTCTGAGATATGATAGCTTCAAACTGATGTCAAGACTTCCTTGAGGTGTAAGACAAGTGATTCTCCAAGTAACTTAACACCTCAAAAACTGGTTCACAAAAGCTTTTTGTAAATTGTAGACGTTTCAAGAGCTTTTGTAATTGAGTAAGTCGAGTGATAATGAACCAGCACCTTCTTAGTTGATGAAGGTGAGTTTATATAGGTGATGAAAATCCATCCGTTGGAGGGAGATGAAATTTTCGAACCTTTTAACCATTGGACAAGGACCGGGGAGCTTCATGCATTAAATGCTCCATTAATGAGGTTGTACCATGTAGCCGTTGAAGGTATGGAAAGCATTAGGGTTTTGTCCTTTAGCTCCAAGAGATAGTACATCTTCATTTAATGTTTCTTGAAAAGTGAGTCCCATAAAATGAAGTCCGTATTGTCCTAGGATGTTGTCAAATCAGACAGGTGAAACATTCTTCTCGTTGTTGAAGAGAAGTAATGTTTAATAAAGATCGTCTTTTACAAACATTGTTCTTTCGTGTTTGTTGACAACTCCTGCTTGACTCTCGTTGTTGTTTTTCATATCTTGTGTCTTCTTTCGCCTTGGAGATCCTAACATCTAGTCATAACTCATTTTCGTGTGTTTGTCTAGCTTAACACGAATTACAAAAGAGTTATGGCAACTCTCGTCTAAGACGAAAGTAGCGAAACAAAAACAGCGAGTGGTTAGGGGTCTACTTTTCTACATTACATTGGTATCATCAAAATCCTAATACAATGTTCCTAACAATTTCCCCCTTTTTGATGATGCCAAAACCTATACTCTTCTTATAAGGCTGATAAAAGTTCCATAAGGATTTTTCTTATATATAAAAACAACCATACTCGAGAGTTTACAAGTCTTTTTCTAGATAAAAGCGTTTAAAAGCGATATAAGAACAAGTAACTCAAACAGGTGACACGAGATGTGTAACAATGAGAGTTTCATATATAAAGATGTGATCATTACAAAAACTTCATAAAAGGAATATAACAAAAGTTAACTTACATTTCTAAAAGCTTTGATTTCTGTTGTTCAGCTTCCTTGAGCTCTTGGTCATCCTTTTCTTTTTGTCGCTTTAGCATCCTGTTGAAGTCAATTTTCTCATTGATTTTTGCTCTGAAGACTTTGATAGGATTAGTCTTGACAAGCTCTTCATGTTCTCCTCTGATGTTCAGACCAGTGTAATTGTTGTAGGCTTCCCGAATGTTGCTTCCTTCAACAATACCATACTTCCACCACGAGATCAGTCCAAACGAATTCATTCCTTCTTGGTAGCTCTTTCCTGATTCCTTGTGCACTTTGAAAGCTGCATTATGCATGACATTTTGTGGGGAGTCTTTGGTTACATTCGAAAGATCTTCAATGAGATTCCTGATTCTTTTTCTTTCCATTGCTTCATCTTCTCTTCTCTTTCTTTCTTCATCATGCTTCCTCCACAGTTCTTTGTTTGCTCTTTTGATTCTTTCATTTTGAGTGCTCATGTGGTTTTGTCTTGTATGGTTGTCTTTTGTTTTCAACCAAGTGGGATTATTGCAACCCTCGAATCGTTTGCCACTGCCTTCTTCATATGGGACAAAGTCCACAAAGTTTCCTATGCCATCCATAGTTACTTTGTTGTCTCTCATAAGCTTTTGCCTTAATTTTATCTGTTCTCTCTTTGGCAGTCCTGTGAAGATGTATTTGGCTTCAGAACCAAAAGATTGTCGAGGCTTGATTTGTTCGGAGGATTGGTATCGACCATATCTTGACTTCGAGGAGTAATGACCATGAGACTTGGAAGATGGATTCGGGTTCCTTTGGTCATAGTCTCTTGGTGTCCGAGAGGGAGAGTGTCGTGTTTCACGAGCTTGATCTTTCGTGCTATCTCTCGGCTGATCATCATCCTTATCTTTGTCATCATTTCTCTTTTCCCCCTTTTTGGCATCATCAGCACAGGTGGTAGGAGGAATGGAAGAGACCTTGTTGATTGCAAGCAAGATATCCTGAGCATATCCGAGAATTTGAAGTGCATATTCGCCCAGTTGGTACGAATTGTCCTGATATGTGTCAATCTTTGTACAGGCCAAATCCATACGCTCTTTGAGACCAAAATGAGAGTGTTTGATTTCGTGTTGTTGTCGCGCAACTTTGTTCAAAGAAGCTTCGAGATCATAAAGTTTCTTAGTCATTCGCTCAATGGCCTTGTGATCTGATTGGCTTTGTTGCTGCGGTTGAGGCTGTGCTGGAGGTGGAGATCGAGGTTTAGATTGGGCTGCTATCAGAAAATCGACCTTCTTGCATAGATCATCCATAACTTTCGTGTCCTTTTCTCGTAAGGCAAGATATTGCCCGTGGATGGTCTCGGCTGAATGAACAGTTCCCCTCATGATGTTCATGATAGTTCGTGGGGACTTCGCAGGGGATTCTTCCTCAATATTTGTTGGTGATGTGTCCATGTGATCATCTTGAGGTGGTGTTTCCCGGTTTCCACCACTATCTGAGCTAAGAGGTATTGGTGAAGCTTCCAGTTCGCCTTCACGCATACTTTCGTTTCCTAGCTGGATTGGAGTCTCGTTTAAGGGTTGAATATGCGGAACAATGGCTCGAGATAGATCTTCGGGATGAGTAGTTGAAGCTTCTTTCGAGTCTTCACTGTCAGAAGGTAGTCGTCTTAAGGGAGATCTCTGAGGGTAGGTGTCATAGTCAGGACCGATCAAAATTGTGTGACTGTCTTCGGGTTCGGTTTCTTGAGCACCTTCATTGCCCATCTGATCATCATTATCATCATCGTCATCATTATCATCATTCTCATCATCATCATCATCATTCTCATCATCAGCATCGTCAACATCATCATTTTCTTCATTTTCACCTTCATCACTCTCGCCTTCTTCAATCTCTCGTCCAAGCTCATCTTTCGTGCCACTGACATTACAATTTGGATCATTTTGGTGTTCCTTCTCCAAAGTAGTCTTGATCTTTGAAAGCAACATGGCATATCGAAGTTGCTTTAGTTCTTCTTCATAAACTGGATCCAAGGGTGGCTTGTTGAGCTCGATGCAGATTGGAGCTTTATCTCTCCCGAGAGTGCGATTTGTCATCTTGTAAGAGAAAACGCGATTGATCTCTTCAATTCGAAGAGCTTTTGAAAGATCATCAGTGCCCATCCATGCAAGTGCAAATTCCTCTTCGTCCTGCATTGCTTCAAAAGTTTCAAGAAAGATCCGCAGGGGAGCAGTACGCCACTTTTGCCACTGTTGAACTCGTTTGTAATCTCGTTCAATGGATTCTCTAAGCAACTGATCTGGTGAAGGTTGAGGAACCTTTACTTCTGGAGCTGGTACCGATGGTTTCGGGATGTCCGGAGGTTGTACCTGCACTACTGCTGTCTCGTCTACCAATACAGGTTCTTGTGTCAGAGTTACCTGCTCTGTATTGATAGGTTCTTGTGGCAGACAAGGTAAAGCGATCAAAGCATCAGTCGCCTTTTTCGTCTTTTCTGGTGATCCAGGTTCTTGTGGAAGACTTAAGCGACTGGCCTCCATAACTACATTAACAGGTTCTTGTGTCAGCTCTCGAAGGAGTTGATCTGCCAAAGTAGGTTCTTGTGAATGGTGGTCTTGAGGAAAACCGAGATCAGACTTGGGTTCTTGATCATCAGGAATTTTCTCAGGAAGAACATCTTTCGGTTGACCTTCCCCCTTAGAAAGTGCTTCTTTCGTGTCTCCTTCTTTCGGTGTAGCTTCTTTCGGTGTAGAAGATATCTTCGGGAAAGATTTAGCCTTGAC